TTCATATACAAATGGGTCCATAAATATGTAGTGAGGTTATAAAAAAAATAAATATCCACATGCATGTTTTGTGGCTTGCGCCGCATTTCATGTGTTCCATTGCTCGTACTCGATCATAGACAGCTGACGAATTTTCTTTGGGCCATATCTATAAATAAGTACATATAAACTTATGTATATATGTATGAACTACGAAAGACCGCCGAAGCACATGTGAGTGAACACGCCGCTGTTGTCGTATAGGCCGGCAAATAAACTTAGTCATCCATTTGTTATTTACATAAATACTTTACATACTATATATGTGTGCTATACAATTAAATTTTTCTTCTAAAATTGCATACAATTAAATTGCATATAAACTACACATGTATGAATATACTTAATTGAGTAACCCTGTCGGAAAATGGAATATTTGGTAATGACTTTATAGGAAAACAAATCTTAAAATGTAATAAGGAAGGTTCTGTAATTTGCTTCCGAGCTAATTACAAGCCCATTCAATTTGAATTCAAAGTCACATTTGTAGAATTTTCACTCAGTTTCCCACGGGGATGTTTGGTCAAACTGTTTCTTCAATTTTTACACTCGTATATGCAATCGAACCAAAGACTAACTTTGTGGTGGTCACATACCAAGTTACTCGTCTGTAACGTATCGAAAATAAATACACATGTACTATGTGTGTTAAAACTTTTCAATTGGCTAAATTGATGCAAATTACGTATTTGTGGGCACGGCATCGTTTTCAAGTACATACACAGTCGGTGTCAAATGTTAGTGTACACCTTGTTTAAATATACTATTCACTATTATTTTAATGGAAATATTTTTGTCATTATTTTTTTATGAAAATATAGTTCATTCTGTAATTTAAGCCATATAAATCAATTTGTATAAAGCTCATACAAATTTCAAAATCTTTATTCAGAATTTCTAGAAAATTTTCGAGTGTGCAGTTATTCAGAATTTTTAGAAAAAATGTAGGTTTATAAAGTATGGTCGACAATTACTTTTATATGGAGGAAAATGCCTAGCACCGTCAGAAAATAATTATTAAAAATCAACGCGATTTTCTAGCGCTTTGAAATGTGCACTTTTACGTACTAAAATTGAATGGGCTATAAAACTGATACCTAATTTTGGAGGCTTGAACTGTTTTGTCATCTGAGGGAAATTTTTTGAAAAGTTCTCTAAGTATTTTTATTCATAAAAAACTCAATATTTGTGGTATTTTCAGATCGGTCCGGCTCATCTTAATATTTATCTTGGATGAAAACCAACTTTGTTTAGGAACGCAACTTTTTTTTGGTGATGCAGTCTAATCTACATAAATTGATATGAATATACATACATAATACATACATACTTATGTATAGATTTTAGCATGGGTGTTCAGATAAAAGAGCTGACTCACACGGACGAGTCAGTGACCTATATTTCTTTGTTTTTAAATTTACTTGTTTACATGCGAATATCGGATAAAAATTATAGGGTAATGCAATAGGAGTAGAAACAAATTCAAACCAAATAAAGTACGATTTCTATGTATATGCAAAAAAAAAAAAAAAAATTTAAAACAAAATGCCTTAAAAAATTTGTGCATACCTACGTAATCAATATAGTAAATAATGCGTTGTATACAAAATAATTTCAAACTATATCGCAATGGATGTACATAATGTGTATGGAATATTCATATCGTTACCTTAATTCACAAAGGCCTTAACCAACACTTTTTTCGAAACTGCGTGTTTCACAGATTTTGGTAGTATATACTAAAATAAAAAATAAAAATTGCAATTGTTAGTACGAAAAACAACGTAGTTACATGCAAATTTTTAAAGAGCCCTACCTGATGCAATTTTTATAATGTTTTTTTTTTGCTTCTCCTTAAAACAAACAAGTTTTTGGTTAGGGTCTTTGTAATTAAGGTAACGATATGTACATACATATGTAGTACAAATTGAATGTCGGGGTGGTCAGTCAGGATTGTAATTAAATATTAAGCCCCGCGCCTCTCTACTCAAGTATAAATGTACATGTTTGTGAATGTGTGCTTGGGTAAATTTTTGAGCTAATGGCTTTAATAATAACATTAAGTCAGGATCATTTTCATAACTGTTGGTGTTGGTATTCTATCTATATAAAAAAGCTTCTATAAAAGTTTAATGTATTGTCAAAGTCGTCTGCCATCATAAAAAAGGCCTTTAATGATGTTTCTGAAATTTTACGGGAGATGTTCTAAAGTAGTTAATTCATATTTTTAAGCAATATCTAAAATTTTATTATAGCGATATGTTTATTTTAAAGCAAGCTAATGGACTACATAAAAAAAACGTATTTTCGAAATATTTCATTCGGGGCCTTTTATTTGTATGTTAAAATTACATACATATGTATATACAAATCAGGAAAGTTTGTACCGCCCATTACACAAATTTATTTATATCTTTCTCATTTTTAGTGATGATCGTCCAGACTTGACCGAGCAACTTTATATCGATCCAAATCTATATGTAGATATTGGCAATGGGGACTACTGTTGCCCGGCATCACCCACCACTGTGCCCGGTCGCGTTGTCTCATCGAATTCGTTGGAGTCGCCCGCACGTACCACTACACCAACACGTCCGGCACGTCGACAACGCACCACATCGGTGAACAGTCAATCGACCACCGCTAATCCAGCCGAATGTATCATACGCTCCAATAATCGCACAATATATACAGCTGGGCGTCCACCATGGTATAATTGCGCCGGCCAGCAAGTGGAACCATTTGTTATTGGTAAGTTTATGAGTGCGCTGCATATATATACACACATATGTACAAAACAATGACTGTAAAGCGATAGCCTAGTTGTAAATAATCTTAAAATTGATATGAATTAAATTTGACACAAGAAATTTATACGTTACGCAGGCGTTTGCGGTGGAAGCGCATCGGGCAAAACTACAGTTGCACAAAAAATTATCGAGAGTCTTAGTGTACCATGGGTAACACTGCTCTCCATGGACTGTTTTTATAAGGTAAATTGAAATTTTGAGTAATTTATTTCTTAGCGTTCATTAATAGTTTTATTTTTTATTTAACAGATATTAACTGAGAAACAGCACGAACAGGCGTTATTGAACGAATATAATTTCGATCACCCAGACGCTTTTGATATAGACTTATTGGTGGAGGTGTTGACAAAGCTAAAAGAAGGACGCATGGTGGAAGTGCCCATCTATAATTTTGTAACACATTCACGCGAATCAAAGACTGTGAGTTTGATGCAATTTTTCGTCTTTGAGTGGAAGTGTATTTTGTTTAACAAATCATTTGCTCTATTATGCAGAAAACTATGTATGGCGCAAATGTCATAATATTTGAGGGTATTTTAGCATTTCACAGCACGGAAGTACTTAAACTTTTAGATATGAAGGTGTTTGTTGACACCGATGCAGATATACGTTTGGCAAGGCGTCTCAAAAGGTAAGTAAGCCGTATAATAAAATTAAATATAATGAAAAAATAATATCATACAATTTGTGTTGATCTAATGAATTTCCATTCCCAAAATTAAAATCAAATTATGATCACAGATGCCTCTTCGGGACATGACTATTCTGAGAACCTTTTTTTCTTTTTAAAACTTTTATTTAGTAAATTCCTATATTTTAAAGCTCGATATGTATATTTACTTTATAGGGACATTTCACAACGTGGTCGCGATCTCAGTGGTGTACTTAAGCAGTATTTGACCATGGTGAAGCCTTCATATGCCAATTATATTGCCCCCACAATGGCACATGCCGATATCATTGTCCCACGCGGTGGCGAAAATAAAGTAGCCATACATCTAATTGTACAACACGTACATACTCAGCTGCAACTGGTTAGTCTTCTTGTCTTTTTCTGGAAGCATTATTTACTTTTTCCCCGTATATTGTTCTTTTTTTTCTTGGTTTTAATGTAGCGTGGCTTTAAATTACGTGAAACCTTAGTGAATTCCTATAAGGATCAACCTATGCCCGACTCGCTACACCTACTGCCACCGACACCACAAATTAAAGGGTTGCACACTTTTATACGCTGTCGCGGTACTTCCAGGGACGAATTCATATTCTATTCAAAACGTCTCATACGTTTGGTCATCGAATATGCATTGAGTCTTTTTCCATTCAAAACAACAACCGTCGAAACACCACAAGGGGTGCTCTATGAAGGTAAATCGAAAATGTTGAACGCATTCTCTAGCACTTTGTACGTAGTTTGGATCTATTAACTTGTATATTTCATTTTTAAGGTAAGCGCATGGGTTCTCGAAAAATATGTGGCGTATCCATTTTGCGTGCCGGTGAAACAATGGAGCAGGCAATTTGTGATGTTTGCAAAGACATACGCATCGGCAAGATTCTTATACAAACCAATCAAAATACTGGCGAGCCCGAGTTATACTATTTGCGGTTTCCGAAGGATATTAAAGATTATAAAGTAATACTAATGGACGCCACAGTGGCTACTGGTGCTGCTGCTATGATGGCTTTGCGTATTTTGCTGGATCATGATGTGCCGGAAGAGAATATAATATTGGCTTCTTTGCTGATGGCTGAAATTGGAGTGCATTCAATTGCGTATGCCTTCCCTAAAGTGAGGATTGTGACGTCAGCACTAGATCCCGAGGTGAATGATAAATTTTACGTGATACCCGGCATTGGTAATTTCGGTGATCGCTATTTTGGCACCGAACCGTCTGATGACTATCTTTAGCCATTTAGCTTAAGTAACTTAAAATAATTTGAGAAAAATAAATAAAATATTTAAAATCTAAAGTGCTTCTTTCACCACAAGGCACAGAAGATATTAAGCGTGATCACATGGAGGGCGAATATTGGTTTTGTATTGCATGGAAGGCGCGTTATGGCTGATTATGCCTATGTTCAAGTTCCACCCTCAACTATGCATGTTTTGGGAAACTTAAACAAGAATTAGTTAAGAACAAAGACAATAAGTATGTAGTTTACAGTGCCACCACTTTATTGTCGTATAAATACTACAAAAACTTCATCAACATCTGTAACATTAAAGCGATAAATATTAATATTAACCCAAAACCAACGTACTTTCCTACAAGGTCCTCTTTATCACTTTCTGTATTGATCTTACCATTTTTAATATGGCCATTTCGTTCTGGTTTTACGGTACAACGTGTCCAATCAGATTCGTTGTCAATGATTTCTGCAATCATACTAAATTTACTGGAACCTGTAATGCGTACGCGAACCGCGGTGCCCAGTAGATTTTCCCGCATAGGTAGCAAAATTTGTTCGTATCTCTTATTATGTCCAACATAGTGTTGCTTGTCGTGTGATATTTCTGTTACTAACACTGTGTATTCCTCACCCACGCGACCATAATATGGCGAATAGCTATTAAATAAATCCGTCAGCTGCTTAGTCCGTTTCTTTACCAAATGTGCTGGTATTCGTTGCATTTTGGCCGCGGGCGTACCGGGTCGTGGAAAGAATTGGTTTATAAAAAGGCTAGGAAAACGATATTTGGCGCACATTGTCATTGTCTCTTCGAAGTCTGCCTCCGTTTCGGTTGGGAAACCACAAATTATGTCAGTGGCTATGGTGATACCGGGTACCCGCACACGAAGGAAGTCAACGACATGTTCAAATTCGCTTCGACAATATTCACGTTTCATGTCGCCCAATACCGAGTCGCTGCCACTTTGGACTGGTACATGAAGAAAAGCGTATACCCTTGGATGATTTAGCACCTTTGCAATTTCCTCCAGATGTTCTAATATGTAAGGTGGGTTTGTCATGCCTACTCGCAGCATACAATGTTCAGGTATGACTTCAACCAGTTGCCACAACAGTTCTGGCAGTGAAGTGCCAATGTCTCTTCCGTATGCGCCAGTATCTTCTGATGTCAACCAAATTTCGCAGCATCCTTCAGTGAAAGCTTGTTTCGCACGTTCTACAATCTCCTGGGGCGGGTAGCTGGCCAAATCACCACGAGCATGCTTTGTTTTACAGTAAGTGCACTGGTTAAGACAACCAGTGTTGATTGGTATAATTTCGATTAAAGGATTCTTACGCACTTTTGGCAGCGCTAAACGCGCACCGGCTACACGTTTACCTTGCTCTTTTTTATTCTGCAAGAGGCGTACGCTGTGACCCTTCAACGTTTCTTCTACCACTTCAACTACGCGATCTATTTGCTGAACACCAATTACCGACAGGCCACGTAGGTAATCGGACTTCGGTGCGCCTTGTGGTACACATCCTGCTACAACGACATGTTTTCCATTAGACATACCAGATTGAATTTCATTTCGGAAGGTATCCTCAGAGGGGTTTTTCACTGTACAGCTGTTGAGTAACCAAAGATCGGCATTTTCTTTGTTGTCTGTTAGCTTGTAGCCAAATGCAGAAAGTTGTCCAGCCATATATTCCGAATCAGAGTTGTTGTGTGCACAGCCCCATGTTTTCACATATACGGTCTGGGTTCCAGGGATAACGCTCTCGTAAATTTTCCTCTCTGGCAATTGCCGCTCCGATGCGTGCATATCTGCATCGCTGCCAACTACTGTTGCGCGCTTCTTGGGCCGAACGGACACATTCTTTTTATTTTTATAGCGATCACGAGGTTTCACATCGTCTTCGCAGATGAGATCCTCGATATCTTCGATGTTATTTTCAGGTAAATCCAACATTGGAGCGTTTTACCATGTGTGATGTTTTCATAGAGATGTGATATATTGATGTTATAAAAGTCATCGTTATTACACTTTAGTCTATAAATTATCGATAAACAACTTAGTGGGGCTCTTCATATAATGGGCTGTGCCAATTGATAGCATTGTATTCTGCGTTATAATGGCCTTATTCATAAAAAAAAGTTGCTTTATAAATGGTTTATAAACTGAAACATGTATAAAAACGTCAATTTATAAAGCTCTTTAAAACTACTTGGGAAATGTTTAGCTATTTGTACAACGATTTAGTGGTGGGGGCGGAGGGGGAAGGGGTGTCGGCCCCACAAATCCCCCTAATTGAAAGAGGATTGTCGCCGCTTTATGAAAAGTCACCCCTCCCCCCAACCCCTCCCACAGTCCTCTGGGGAGCTGTTTGAAAATAGGGGAATTTTAGATTTTTTGCAAGGAAAAAACAAATTGCGTCCGAAGAAGGGGGGCTGAACACCTTTTGCAGAGAACACCTTTCTGCGTAGGCGGCCTTGGGCCGCGCTTTGGGATTACAACCCTTACTACGTAGAATTCTGCTTTCTGTGCGACATAACTGGGGCTACCCAGTGATTAGCAATTTGTACAAGGATTTAGGGGTGGGGGCGGAGGGGCGGCGGTGTGGGCCCCACAAATCCCCCCTAATCGAAAGAGGATTGACGCCGCTTTATGAAAAGTCAACCCTGCCCCCCAACCCCTCCCACAGACCTATTGGGAGCTGTTTGAAAATAGGGGAATTTTAGAGCTCAATATAAATTGTTGAATATATTATATCTTCTTCTTCTTCTTTTCTAATTAATTTTTTATTTTTAAATGTCTATTTTATTGCTTTAGAAATGAAATATATTTCATTTAATGTTTTTACTTAACTTTTGGGCACTTTTTTCTTCAATTAAATTTTTTAATTTTAATTTTCTTTAAATTTAAAAATATTACATATTTTAAAAAGATATATATTTCTATTAAGTTTACTTGTTTTTTTAGGGACTTCTTTTATCTTCTTTTTAAATTTAATTTTCTTTTAATTTTTAGAATTTCTCGTATTTGAAAAAAAGTATTTTTTTTATTTTGTTTAATGTTTAAAGTTTATTGTTTATTTGTTTTTTAAATTTAATTTTCTTCAAATTTAAAAATATTACATATTTTAAAAAGATAAATATTTCTATTAAGTTTGCATGGTTTTTTAGGAACTTATTTTATCTCCTTTTTTAATTTAATTTTCTTTTAATTTTGGAAAGTTTATTTTTAAAATATATATATATATTGATTAAAATTCATTTAATTTTTAGGAATCTATTTTTCTTCTTCTTTTATTAATGTTTTTTTTTTAAATGTCTTATTTTATTGCTTTAAAAATGAAATATATTTCATTTAATGTGATTAACTTTTAGGAACTTATTTTCTTCAATTAAATTTTTTAAATTAAATTTTCTTTAAATTTTAAAATTATATTACATATTTCAAAAAGATAAATATTTCTTTTAATTTTACTTGGATTTTTAGGGACTTATTTTATTTATCTTTTTTAATTTAATTTTCTTTTAATTTTTGGAATTTCTGGTTTTTGAAAGAAAAGTATTTTTTTAAATTTCATTTAGTTTTAGATACTTACATATGTACACATATTTTTTTCTGTTTTTGTTATTAAATTATTTTTTCTTTTTTAAATTTAATTTTCATTTAATACATATTTTAAAAATATAAATATATATATTTCTTTTAATTTCACTGAATTTTTAAAGACTTACTTTATGTTCTTTTTCAATTTAATTTTCTCTAATTTTTAGAATTTCTTGTTTTTGAAAGAAAAATAATTTTTTTAAATTTCATTTAATTTTTAGAAATTTAAATGTTTTTCTTTCCTAAATTCGAATTTATTTTAATTCTTGGATTTTAGTGCTTTAAAACGATTTTTTTTAATTAATTTTAGTACATTTTAGGAAGTTATTATTACATATGTACATATATTTTTTTAATTTGATTACTATGTGCATATGTATTTAAAAGTAAAATATATATATAATTTATTTTCATTTAATTTTTAGGGACTTATTTTACATTGTGTTTTCTTTTTATAAATTTAGTTTTTAGATTTCATTGTTTTAAAGAAAAACATTTGTTTAATGGAAAGCCAACGCGTTGCTAAGTTAATTTTTAGAAACTTATTTTATTAGGAGTAAATTTTTTAAAATTAAGTTTCTTCTCTTTTAATTAAATTTTCATTAATTTTAAGGTTTTATTCTTCTAAAAAAAATATAAATATGTTCTTAGAATAACGCTAAGACCTCCTCGTTAGCAGATCCTTCAATTAGTCTTTCGCCAGAAAAGTGCTTTCAAGAAAGTTGTTCGAGTTGAAAGACTTTCGTGTCCTGTAAAGCCACACTGATAAGGCCTAATCAGTTCAAAAATAATAAAAAAATATTTCGAGCATTTAGCGAGTATCTTTCGAGGGTAATGCAGAATGGAAAAATAAGTTTTCAAGTGATCCATCATTCCCCCCTAATGTTTATGTCGCGTGAAGAAAGTTCAAACCTGCTCTCTGCGTGAAAAGAAGATTATATATCACATGAAGAATACCTACCAGTGATATGCCATGCATCGTCTCAGAAAAGATCGTACCGTACTTAAATTCATTTCTACTTACCCCGCAAGCATTTGCGTAAAAACTTTACCGAAAAATGTAAACTTGTTTTATTGTTAACTAATTTAATTTTTTTTTTAACAATTTTTGGCACAAAAACTCTCAATGTTTGAATATTTTAAACTCTCAACCGTAATTTCTAAATAGATAAATACATATATTATACAATAGCTGTGCACTAATCCTACAATGAAAACTCTCACGTCTCTTTAATTTCATTTTTGCAAATGCTACAAACCGTCATTGGCTGCCCTCGTCCCCGTCCAAATTGCTCTCGTTCACGCTGTCGCTTATATTTAGCAATCAGTGCTGAGTTATTCAAGTCGGGACTGCGCGGTGTCTTTGTGCAGCAACAACAGCAACAGCAATTGAAATATTTCAACGGCACCGATTCACCCTCTTCAATGGTTTGTGGTAAATTTTTGCCACGTGTCTCCGGCAGGAAAAGGCTAGCAAAGCCGCCGATAATTAATAGCGCGCCCATTATTATTAGCGGCAGCACAAGCATGCGCTGACCCTGAATAAGTAATCTTATTTAGAATTAGGTTATGGAATGAATTAAGTTCAACTACTTGCCATGTGATTAATAATTGGTATGACTATGGGTCCGATCATCGCGACCACCGAACTGAAGCTCATGCCCAAGCCACGCACCACAGTCGGATAGAGTTCGGAAGCGAGTAATGGTAGCACTACGAATGCCGACGAAATGCCCATCTTACCGATGCAGTAGAGTAGCAGCATTATCTCTGGCTGTTCATCGTACAGCAATGTCAAAACACATGCCACACCCCCCACCAACATAGATATGCAAAGTATCCAACGTCGGCCGAAGTAGCTTAAGCCTGGCCATAGCATAATGTAGGTAGGTAGCTCAACAACGCCAGCGAGAAAGAAGTTCCATATTTCATCACCACCCAAAGCTGGCGCATAATAGCTCAGTCCCACATAGACGCTGGTGTTCGCAAACCAAATTAGCGTTATAATCAATGTTTTACGACGCATGTTTGTGGTGCGAAATAAATCCAAGATACCATAAGATGTCTCTGTCTCTTTTCCCATTGCCGCTTCGGCCTGCTGTAATTTTTGGTGCACGATTTTTACGAAATCTGGTGGGATGTTGTGGCCATTAACACGCGCAATGGTTTTCAAAACTCGTGCCGCCTGTCGTGTTTTACCCACTGCGAGCAGCCAACGCGGCGATTCCGGTAGCACGAAATAGCAAGAGAAAAGCAGCAGCAGTGGCAAAGATACGGTCAGTGTGAGAAAGCGCCAATCCCTTATTAGATACACTATGCCTGCGAGTAGTACCAGTCCGCATGAGTAAGCAATATTTGAGACTATCGTGCAAAAGACGCGACGCTCAGGACCAACCAGTTCAATAGCTACACGAAGGGAGAATGAGACCAAAGTGAAGGTGTTGTGTATGCAACAGCTTACCAAGGACATAAGGACTTGCGAGTATGGCCGGCACGGTGAGACCCACAACAAAACGCATACCCAACCAGGAATAGTAGTTCCATGCGAAGGCACTAGCTGCGCATGCGACAATTTCTATAAGAAGATAAACATAAAAGGAGGGTCGACGTCCCCACTTATCCTGCAGATAGCCGAAGACGTAGTTGCCGATCAAGCCAGCAACGCCAAACAGAACCAAAGCCAGCGTAACCAAAAAGCTTTGGTCGCATACAAGATTCCACTAAAACAAAAATGCGAGGTTGAGAAAAGCGCCTACGAAGCACAAACTCTATCTTACCTCTGTAACCACTGTGCTGCTGTACATTGAGCGATCATAATACCAGCCATGTTGGCAGCTCAGAACTGGGGTACGTCCTGGATTGCCGATTTGCCAGACCTTATCTTGTTGCAACTCTATAGGGGTGCGGTACTCCATATATCGCACAATATCCGAGTAATTGCGGTTGTACATCGCGCAGCTGGCATACTCAACGCTGCTGTTCACCATGCTCAAAGGTATGCTTAGGTTTTTCACCAGCGCACCATAGTCCTGCGCCCATGGTTCCAATTCGGGCACACGACACCAATGCTTCGGCGTTGCTGCGATAAATAATTGACTATGGGTTTTAATTATAGTTAATACTCGTATGATATATGGATTCGAAAATATAATCGGCCGACTAAGCATCAAATTCACCTGTAGGCGTGGAAGGCACAAGGCAACGCTGCAGGTAATAGCACCGAACAAATAATAATTTTCTGGTACAAACCAAAGGATCCGACCTCTTTAAGTACTTCATCGAAATCCATGGATGGTAGGATAATTAGACGGCTGAAAGAATATTCATAACTCCTTTATAAGCTGTAGATATATTTAAAGCGTTCGCAACGAAGCAAAAAACTGCGCGACGCAAGAGCCCACTTGGAACTGAACGCGCGCGACACAGCCAAAATTAGTGGAACCAACATTCATCAAAGGCTACCCCAAATAAAAAATAATTTAGCACATTTGTATGCATTTAGCTGCAGCTACGAGTAAAATCTCTATAGCGCAATGATGGATTCTGTTTCTGCTTTGTCGACTGAGAATGTAGTATGTAGCTGTTTTGATTTGCAAATTCAATTGGGCATAATTATATTATGGGCAGTAGCCTGTTTAATTAATTGGCTACCCTAGCGTTAGCAAGGTCTCCGTCTCAATGGGATACCTAAAGACCACATAGTTTTCCGCATGTGCAAATAGATGAATATATACCCTGTGGTAAAAATGGGATGACACATAAAGGGACTGGTAGAATGCTAGCTATATCGGGGTTCTTTTTTGAACTAGTGAAATATTGGATCTATGTAGTGTTTAAGATTTATTGGCTGGATGATCATAAAGAAGAACAAAGATAGATATTGGACGCTCACATTTTGGTTTGTTTATGTTTACCCGAGTTCCTCCTCCAATTATTATTTTTTTTTGAGGCATGAATCCTTCCATTAAATTAATTTCCAAAATACTCGCTATATTGCGCTGAAAATAACTGTTTTAGCTTTTTAAGCATTAAAATTAAATAAATCCAGAATTGATTATTAAGTAATTAGTAAGTTAAATGATCGGGTGCAACCAAAAACCAGATATGTCGCGACCTAGAGGATCCGCTGTACCCTTTGATAAGTTAATAACCCGGAAAGCCTAAGATACTATCAGTTCAAGACACTAAATGCAAATAATGACTTGGTAGACGAATTCCTGATACTACACTACACTACTACTACTACAATTAGGTAATCCAATCCCGCAAGCTTGCGGGATTAGCGGGACTGAAATTAAAATTATATTATTTCCTCTAGACAGTTAAATTCAAAATTGATATATAAAAAAGACGATTTGATTTAGAAAATCTACGTATTTACTTTTAATAAGATTGGTTTTTTGATAATATTTCCGAAGGAATGATAAAGTCTTTAAAGTTCCATTTTTTAAATTCGATCTTATTTTATTGCACAATCAGGAACTTTTCATTTTGGTGATTGTGCATAGTTTCGTAGGTATATGGTCAAAATCGCTATATATTATTGGGTAGTTTTCAAAAGAAAATAAATCACAAGCTGCATTTTTAAAATATAAATCATGTGTATACGTAAACAAAAATTTCCCTCTCCACTCTACCATTAATAGTTTACAATAGAGCAGTTTTCATTTAACAACACTACTCTTCAGGTCGCGTATGTTTTAACCTACCTGGCTGAACTCGGATAAATAGCCGAGTTTGTGTTGTTGCTTTGCGTGTATTTCGTCATTTAAGCGGGTGTTCTTTTGTAGCTCGGTTGCAAAAGAATGGACCTATAATAAGAGTTACTGTAATGTTTTATTCAATCTGAAACAATACCCGCTTGCTGTAATCCCAAAACTAGCTAAAACATAAGTGATTCTGGATTATTGAAATGTAACTAAGCTTTCCTCTTTTTCCGCGTAACCTTTTTACTGTTTAATATTTGAAAAATGGCGTTAAAGAAATATATACATTTTTCTTCATAGCATACTCTTGAAAATTACACCAGAGTTATGAGCAGGGAACGGATTTTATGGAAATTGCCTTTTTTTCTGCTAAAGAGATAGAGTATATTCGATTAAGAATGTCCACGATTTAGCTTTCCCTGATTCCATATATACACATTTGAAGTTGCCTTTTTAAAGATATTTGCCTTTTTTTTGCCTTTTTTAAGATATTTGCCTTTTTTTTTGCATTTTCTACCTTTAGAAAAGTGATTATAGCATTTAAAATTGTTTTTTTAAGATTAAAAAATATACACATGCTTATGCGGCTTATAGAAGCGCAGGGACCTCTTGCCAAATTGGTGTTGAAAAAATTCAAAGCCGTTTTCTCAGCTAACGTAGGCTTGAAGACAATAAGGGGTGTGGATAAAATTGTAAAGTGCGAGGAAAGCGCCCTTGTTCCTGATAATATGAACGTTTCAAACGATCCATATTTAAATTGGGCTCCACTTGTATCAACTTACGTCGAGCGCACATTTAGTACATTCAAGGCTTTTCTTCGCGAAAATCGAATGAAAATGCTGCCAGAAAACTTCAAAATGCATCTTGTGGTTCAATGTTACTACAACTATACAGATTAAAGTTTTATGAGTAAGAACCGGTTACTCAATGTCTGGTTAACGCTAATCCCCGGTTAAACATAGTTATCGACGTTACCGACTCCCTGTTGTATGCATGGAGTCGTAGACGTCGATAACGATGTTTAACCGCAGATTAGTGTTAACCAGACATTGAGTAACCGGCCCTTAGAAACTCGAAAGGATAAAATAGTCAAAGATTCAGGGCCGGTTACTCAATGTCTGGTTAACACTAATCTGCGGTAAAACATCGTTATCGACATGCATACAACAGGGAGTCGGTAACATCGATAACTATGTTTAACGGGAGATTAGCGTTAACCAGACATTGAGTAACCGGCCCTTAAAGTACAAATTTTTCATATAATGAAACTAATTCATAGTTTTTCTCTTTTTACTTGTAATATAAGCATTTCTAAAATAAATATATTTTTTGATTGTTCTTCGTATTTTCTGTCTTTTTTTAGTGCCTTATTTTGCTTTTTTTGCATTACCTTTTTTTTGCCTTTTCCTGCCTTTTTCGCTATTTTGTTTTGCCTTTTTTGCCTTTTTCGCCAATACCTAGTGCCTTTTCCTGCCTTTTTCGCTATTTTATTTTGCCTTTTCCAGCCTATTTCGTTAAGAGCGAAATACACCACACAAGCGGTTTGACAAACCAAGCGAAATTTCCCTTTGCTTCAAGCCATTTGTGCTGTGTATGGGGGTGTTTGAAGGTTTGACAAACCGCTTGAGGGAAATTTGAGCAAAAATCAAAATTTTTTGATTTTCTGGCCGCCATGTTGATGTTTGATCAAACCGCTTGCGTTGTGTATAGCAAAATCGCCTCATTCGCAACGAAATTTTCACCGAGTAAGGACGTAAGAGAGGAAAATGAAAGAAAACCATAATATTTAACATTGCGAACTGGAAGAAAACTAAAATTCTTTGCTTGAACGAGTCATGTTTGCATGGTGTATGGCGAAATGGGACAAGTAGGTTTGAAGAATGTTTGACAAGCCGCTTGTGTGGTGTATTTCGCTCTTTACTTTATTTTGCCTTTTTTATAGGTTTTTAGGTCCTAAAAATCCGTTCCCTGGTTATGAGTATTCGAAATTTAGCATCCGAAAGAAAAAAGTCAATTTTCCGTTGGCACACTTATTTATCGATACAAACGGACTGTTCTAGACTTGAATAATGTGTCCATAAATCGGTAAGTGAACAAAGTTTAAGCTAGTTATAAAGGCGAACGTTTTCAAATTTTAATAAATTTCGCAGGACCACAAAAAAAAAATCGATGAAAGGTTAATAATACAAGATCAGGTGTTTTACATATATGTTTCTGGGGTCGCTGAAGACGAATCTGAACCTCGTTATGCTCCATAACGTCAGGATTTGCTTCTAACCTCAAAACACATTGCGAAACTCAATGAACTCCTCCAAAAGGCCTTCTGAAGGACGTCCTCTAAAAGCCCTTCCTGAAGGCCTTCTATGGGTAGCGAAAGAAGAAGTCTTTCAATTGATGACAGTCCATACAAAAAAGAAAGGAGAAAGCAATGTAGATTGGAAGGCCTCCTGACTCTCAGGAAGACCTTTCGGAAGAGCTTTTAACTCCTGAAACTATCTACTGGGTTATAAAATGATGTATATTTAAAACAGCCATGCACGACAAACATTTTGGCGAGCACGTTCACAACTTGCAATCGGCTAATTAATTTTTTCTGTTTTTTCCGCAAATCCCGCATATGTAATCCCTCATTTCTGATCCCACAAAAATGGCGCGGGATCCCGCGTTTGAGGACGGACAACCATAAGGTATGGCCATTCTTTTAATTTAGAGTTGAAATGCACAGAGTTCGACTAAAAACGATCAGCCGAGCGCCTCCGTCCTGACCTGCGGGCTGTGTCGGATCTACATCCGCTAAACTTAAACGTAGAATACGTAAAAATAATAAGAGCACATTCAGGTTAAAAATTTTAAACCCATTTCAAATGCTACCCATATTTTCAACATGTGGCAGCGCTTTTTATTTTCTTAATGTTCAAGAAAAATATTTCCTAATACTCTTTCGTTTGTCACCCAAGTTTTAACATTTCATACAATAACTTCCGTTTAATTTAAATAAGTTAAGCTTTTTAAACAGATGGAAGAATATTGAATATTAAAAATATTTGTAAAATAAAACCTTGTCAAACCTTTTGCGTGTGACACTCAAATATACATACATATTAAAATTATATAATTCCCTTAATTCAAGTTGCATTTAAATTAAAAAACGTGTGGCAACTCTGCTACAGGTGTATTTTAAAATAAAACATCTGACACCCGTATTGTGTTGCATATTAACATCATCTGATTCCTTTAATTCAAGATGAAATTTGAAAAGGTGGCAAACCTCCTACATGTAGTTCAGAAATAAAATATCTTCAAAGCAGTTTCGATAGTTATCCATATTGAAGTAATTCATTACATTGAATTTAACTTTGTAAACAGGTGGCGACTCTCTTTTAAATATTTTCAAAGCACAATCTCTTTCGACTGACAATTTTCTAATCGCTTAATTTAAGATTGAACTTGTTTTTGTAAACGGGGAGCAACGTTGTTTAAAATTATTTCAAGCTAAAACCTTTTTATTCTTTTTTATATGACACCCGTATTGCGACACATGTTCAAATTACCTAATTCTTATAATTGAAGTTGAATAAAGTGGCAACTCTCTCACATGTAGTTTAGAATACAGTTTTTCAAAGCTATTTTGATTGGTATTCATATTGTAGTAACTCATTTTACCTACTCTATACATTGAATTTATCTTTGTAAATAGGTGGCAACCCTCCTACATATAATAGAGAAATAAAACCTATATTGTAGTAATGGATTTAACTTATAAATAATTTGTATTTAATTATTTATCAGGGGGCAACCCTTAAAAAAATATAGTGCATATCTATAGGCCAAGGCTTTTAGTTTGATACCTATTTTTTTAAAATCGAACTAACGTTACAGATCTGATGATATGATTATGTACTTCCATATGGACATATATGTGTATGTACATACGTAGAATACTAAAGGAGAAACTGATCACATTAACTCCAATCAACATATCGCACAACTAGATCTAAAGTGCGATCAACTGAAACAAATTTGTGTGACTTTTTTTGCATAAATCAATTCATAGCGCTTACATTCAATTAATGGCAATATTTTTTTTTTCATGATTAAATACATTAGTTGAAAAACTACTGTTATGCTTGTTCTTGTATTAATTGCGTTCAATCTGTACGATCCACAAGCAGTTAAATTTCCCTCTATGAATTTTGAGGTAGCTCACTTTAGATCTAGGTATGATATATGAACATATGCTGCGATTAGGTTATACATATTTTTCCGGAGCTGTGCCATCTGTTACTCAAATGCCGAAGTACACACACATACTTTTTGTCTCCTTCTCACACTTCCAGCGCATGCATGTGCTTGAAAATGATGACGAAGTGATTTTGTATGGAAAATCATTTATACCCATATATTTGAATCAAATAAACATACCTAGAAGATATCAACCAATACTTCCCATTTACCAAACGAAAGGAAAAAACTTGAATTTTTAATTAAAGAAAACAAAAACAAAATCATTCGAGCGGCTTTCGAGTATTTTTGTAATGAAAAAATTAGCAAAATTTTTCAACAATTTTGTGCCGTAAAATGCTCAATTTTTGTGTAATTTATATAAAATTTGGACACGATAATATTTCTATTGCCTTGGAAAACTTAATCAACAGCTTCGTAACCACCTTCCAGTACTTTACTAAGGGCCGGTTGTTTAATGTCTGATTAGCACAAATCGGAGGTAGAAGCTCCGGTTAAATACAAAAACTGCTTTATCGATCACATGTGATATGCATGATGTCGAAATCGTCGATTATGATGTACTGGTGAACATTGAAAAACCGGCCCTAAGGGCCGTTTTCACTATCTCTGGTTAACACTAATCTCCAGTTAAACATTGTTACCAACATTACCGACACAATGTTATATGCATGGAGACAGTAACGTCCGTAAATATGTTTAACCTTTGGTTACTCTTAACCAGAGATGGGGAAAACGGCCCTTAAGAGGAAATGCATCACGAGAGACTAGAGCAATGAAGAAAGAACACTTACTTACCTGTGTTCACGGAACTGTTGCCTAAGGATTTTAAATCGCGCTCATGAAGCTTGGTCTCGAACCACCCAACAGTAGAGAGGTCTATGCCTCTTTGGCCCAAGACCCCTGAGATATGTAGATTAGGGTGGTACTTAAATATCAATATCTAAATGTTATATGGATATATTTTACATTTATATCGTTGTATGTACAAAATAAAGGCATCTATGGAAATTTCAAAATTTGAAACAATTTTTTGGGCGGTCGCCACCAGGGTTTGACGTTTTTTTTACAAAATTTTGAATTGAAATCTGGTAAATCTAAAATATTATTGAAATTTATTCATATGAATTCATAAGCTCGCTCAGTCATAGCTAAGTGAAAATTTTGACGAATTTTCTTGATTAAAAAAAAAAATGTTTTCAAACCATGGTAGCAACTTTTAAATTAAATTATTTTTTTCTTTAATTTTGTAATTTTTGTGGATGTCTTTATTTTGAGCGCAGAACTAATTAAAGGCATTCCGCGTGATGTTGATATTTGAAGTACCACCCTAAAGCAGATCCATAAGCAGTATTATCAAAAGCCCCCACTAAGTCCAAGGAGGCACAAAGAGGAATCTCCTAAATATCGAGGGTGTTTTCATAAATATACATAAATGTTTGCTTATTTAAAAACTGGGCATACATTTTTAGTAATTAAAACAACAGGGAATATTTTTTTTCGTAATTTAATTACCGATTGAAACTTTAAGCAATTTCAAACTGGGCATAAACTTATACCGGGTTTAAATAGCCGTAATTGTTTTTTATTTGAAGTATGGACATTTTCCATCCTTTTATAAAGAATAAGGAAGTAACTTAAAAAAAATATTGTTATATTTCGGTTATTTACTGAATATATAAAATTTATCAACACATTTCGACCAAAAATATGACTATTGAATGGTAAAAAGTGCGTAAAAAACTAGTTATTTAAAGTTGGACATAAGCACATGAAACCCTGCACATATTCGTTTTTTTCCAGGAACTAAGCATTTATTCACTTTTTCAGAGCCAAAAAGTCGATACTTTCCAAACGCTGGAAACTATGCTGGTACATAACGAATAGTTACATACAACGTCAATTTTTTAAATATATATTTGTTTACTTTTTTGCAAATTTTTCCTTCAAAAAAAAAAAAGCTACCAGCCAGAAGCTAACTTACAAAAAATATTAAAAAATGCTTAAACGCGACGTGGAAAGCTTAAACATTGAAGATTTCGATGACAGATACGTGCGTCATGCATTCATCTCGAAGGTCTTCGCCATTATTGCGGTAAGGTGGCAAGTAATCGCGGTAGTGATTAATCTACATTCATGTTAAACCACTTTCAGGCCCAGCTCGCCTTAACCCTTGCCGTCCTCTTCGCATTCGTCTACATTGATGCCATTCAAGACTTTGTAGTTCAAAATCCTTCGCTTATGTGGGTAGCGTTAGCTGCAGTTCTGGTTACAATGTTACCGATTGCCTGCTGCGAAGGAGTGCGCCGCAGTTATCCCATTAACTTCATACTTCTTATTCTCTTCACTATGGCTGAATCATTTTTACTAGGTTGCATTGCCATCAGATATGCACCTGATACGGTTAGTAAGTCGGGGTTTGTTTTTGAAATTCATATTCATAACTATCCTTACATTTCCACAACTTTCTATCGCAGGTCCTATACTCCATTGGCATAACAACGATCGTTGTTCTTGCGCTCACCATCTTCGCCTTGCAAACATCTATTGACTTTACCGCCTGTTGGGCCTTTCTTCTGGTTGCTTCTATTATTTTGCTTATAATCGGCATTGTGGCAATGTTTTTTCCTTCGCGTGTGCTAATCATAGTTTATTGTTCTCTTGGAATTCTCATCTTTTCCATCTACTTAATCTTCGATATACAATTAATGATGGGCGGCAAACATAAATTCGCGATCAGTCCAGAGGACTATATATTTGCAGCGCTCAGTATTTACATTGATATTATTACAATATTCATATACATCCTTACCTTAATGGGTTTCGTAGATAACTGAAGAAACGGAAATGATTTAGATGAATTTGGAAAAAACGATCGCCAATGGCTTCATACAAACATATAGATATTTAATAAAGATTTTTTATTTACAAAACTTATTTGCTACATAACATCAAATAATATAATATTATTTCATGTATCTCAAAATATTTTTAATATATTTTCAGTTGAGATAGGGCATTTTTGAACCAAATTCTGAGATGAGATAGGGCGTTCCTGAAAAGGTTTCTGAGACAGAGCGTTTTCGAACTATTTAGCTGCCAAGATAGGTCGATCTTCCACTCGGCCGTCGATTACTCGAGCAAGTTGGTTAATCAAATATTCGGGCAATAAATTACTCAAGTCATCAAGATTTTGTTTATTCAAAACTATGATTAATCGAATTACTTGAAATATGATTAATCAAAAAATTGATTTTGCTCGTTAAAAGAGTTTGCTTTGGAAAATGCTTATTTTCTTTTTACAGGAACATACCAATATTTCAGCATTTTTACGTTCATTACATTTTCAATAAGGGGCCCCATGCGTGTCATTTGTGTCATTTTCTTTATGCTTAAATAAGGGTTAAGTCATCTGTGTCCAAAGAATAAATATTTTTTGAAGCTGCTGCTGCAAAAAACAAAGCTTGTAAAGATTTATTAAGAAAATAATTCAAAATCAGTTCTACTTACAAGATTTAGAGAAATTACTGGTCAGTTAAAAACGTAATTTTTTACACAAAAAACGTCCAAACGTCAACAGGATACAAAAAACGTCCAAATGACGTTAAAAACGTCAACCTGGCAACGCTGGACCAAAGTTCTCAATAATACCTTTCATTTGATATCCATATTGCGATGTTTTAGATAAATTTAGTAGAATCGAAAATAAGTGGAAACCTTACACTATTATCCTAAGGGAAAACATTTTGTATATAGGGGAAGCATTGTTTAGGAACCTTCTCGTGGTACCCACGAATAGTAATATTTTACCTTAAAAAAATAAAAAAATAAATATGCGATTCAAAATAGGTGGCAACCCTAGGAAAATATTTTTGAATTAGAAACCTTTAAAATACCTTCCGTTTGATACCCATATTATCATGTTTCAATTAATTTTTAACTAATTTCGAATAGGTGGGGCAACCTTATACGAGTCTTCTCGGAGATAACCTTAAAATCTAAAACATTATTTGTATACAAAATTTTATCAAAATCGTTAGAGCCGTTTCCGAGAACTCTATGACATAAAAGAAGTGTTCAGCAGTTAAGAAAATCACATCGCAACTTAACCTTCCAAAAAATATGTTTATTCAGCAGGCAAAGAAGTTACACATAAAATTAATACCCCAGAAAGTTATACTTACTTACATACATACATATATACCACATACTTTATTGTCACCTTTAATTTAATTTAATTTTACGTGACAGACAAATAATAATATGTATTCTTTATTTGTTGCCTAGAAAGTAACCTGCTAGTTATTCTGCTAGAAAATATATCCACACATTACATTAAACGGTATTAGTTTCATGTTTAATTTCTTTGCCTGCTGAATAAACATAAGTTGCGTTCGATAACAAAATTAGCCAACACCAGCCAACAATCAAAATCAAGAGAGTAAGCGAAAATTCTCTCCCAAAGAGATGAAAAAGCAAAAAAGTAAACGAACAGGAAATTAGCCATTACTTGCAAAAACCGGAAGAAGAAGACACACCAGCTGACTTTGTTTATGTTTTATTTGTAAACAAACTGAAATTCATGTTGCCTCCATAGAAGAAAAAAGGAAAGTGAACGTTCAATGTTCGCCAGGAACATTTCTAGAAGTAAAAACTAGTTGGCGCTATCATAAAGTCACATAGCAGGCAGCCAAAAAGCATATAAATACCAAAAGTCGGAAAATGCAATTTTAGGTTCGTTCGCGTAGCTGTTAATTGTTCATGTTTAACCAAAACTTACAAGTTTTTGCGTTCGCGTACGCAAAAAACTTGCAAAGTAGGGGAAATTGAGAGAGCAAAGTGACATTTCATTTTGAGGGGAAGCTGCTGGTTTCTGCTGGAAAAATTTTTGCCAACAGCAATTTGCCAACAGGAAAACAGCTGATCAAAAACAGCTGGTTGGCATTTACGCAAATCACAAAATTGAATTTGATGGTTTGGAAGTTAAAAATTACAAAATGCGACTAATTAAACTTGTAAGAAGTAAGTAGTTATTTGTTTAATCAATAAACTGTGCCAGGATACCACTTTGTAATGAGTTTTCGTACGTTTTAAATTTTACACTTTTGAATGTAAACAAAAATTATATCAGCTGTTCGTCTAACTTGCAAGTTTCTGCAAATTTTTTGTTCGCGTACTATTTTGGATATTTCTCTCTTGTGAGCGAACAGATGACATTTGGTTGGTTTCTGCTGGAGATTTTAAATGAACGCACCTTTTGTTTGTTAACAAAAATTGCAACCATATGTTTTCGTGTTGGATAATTTTTGCTGACTAAAATTTTGCCAGTACAAAATGAACGCTTCTCTTGCATCAAAATGAACGCTTGTTCTCTCAATTTTTGTGTGTTGTATAATTTTTTGTCGTTATCGAACGCCATCCAGTAAAAATTTGGAAAAACTTTTACAAATTTTTGACTTGTCGAACGCACCTATATTTTTTGTAAGGTCAAATTCCGATGTGATTTTCTTAAGTGTTAAACACTTCTTTTATGTCAAATTCATACAAACTCGTGATGTCGCTGCCGCGTTAAAAAAATTTTTGACGCCATCGACAAAGCGTTTAGATAATGAAAATAACAAATTGAAAGCTGTGGCCCGTAGCTCGTCGTTTTCAATGTGCTCAGCACTTTAGCAATTGCTATTGAAAATATGTAGTAAAATGCTTCATTCACTACTTCGTATTGCAAAATTCCATTAACACTTAATAGGTGATCGATTTTAGAAAAAGCTTTCCTTTATCATTTGTTCGTTTGTTTGATCAGGTATTATTCCTGGGACTCACGGAGTACCGTAACGACTCCGCTATGGGGGTGAATACTATTTTATGATTAGAACTTGGCTGCTGATGGTCGAGTCGGAGTTTTCGACATTAGAAGAGAGTAATGAAAAAATAATAGTACCGAGCTATTACAGAAAGGCCATGAAGACTTCATCAAATGGATGAATGAATTAATTACTTTTTAAAAATAGTTATGTTGGTACCGATAAATATTTACAATTTTCGTACTTTTTTACAATAAGTATTATCTTTTGTTTTATTTAAAGAAATTGTTTCGAAACATCGCACATATTTTTACTTAATCTACATATGTAATTTTAATCATTAATTTTGCACGCAAGATCTTAAATTACTATTAATACGAAAATAAATTATAACTTTGCATGGATTCTTGAAAATTGAACTAAGCTGCAAATGACGTAGATACATATCGTTACCTTAATTCACAAGCGCCCTTACCAACACTTTTTTCGAAACTGCGTTCTTCGCAGATTTTGGTTGGATGTATAAAATACACCTTCAATTAAAATTTTAAAATGTTAGTACCAAAAGAAGCGGAGCTACATGCAACTTTTTAAAAATCCCTACCTGTTTTTGATACTCTTTTTATAATGTTTTTTACTTCTCCTGTAAAATAAAAAATTTGTTGGTTAGGGCTTTTTTGAATGAAGGTGTACATACATATGTACGACGCAGCAAACAATATGGCAATTAATCTCCATGTCACACTTACATAAGTACATACATAAATATGTATGTATGTATGCTGATTAAACTTATCCCCTTGACGCTCCAATTATTGCCAAAATATACATGAAAATATTGATAATGTCCAGGTAAAGGTTGAGCGCCGCAAAAATATACTCCTCGGGGCTAATAGCATACTTATGCTTACCGCCCATCATCAATTGTGTATCATAGACCAAATAGATGGAGAAGAGTAATGCACCCAGCGATGAATAGACGAGCGTTATCACTTTGCCGGGTATGAAGATCGCCACAATACCAAATATGAGAAATACAACAATGGCAACCAATAGGACGCCACCACACATGGTAAAGTCCCATTTGGTTTGGAAGGCGAATAGCGTCAAGGCGAGGCATACAGCAGCTGTTATGCCAACGGCCAACATCACCTTTGAAAAATTTGAACTATTAGATTTATTCATACACTTGTCCACCAAAAATCTACTATGTACTTACCTCACTGGAAGCATAATATGTAGCGGTTACACCTAGCAGAAATGATTCCGCCAATGTGAAGAGAAATAGGAAAATAAAGTTCAACGGTGTTTTGCGTCGTACACTCTCGCAGCAAGCCATACACACCATGGTTACCAAAAGCACTGCTAGTGCAACCCAAAATATCCATTGTGTGCGATGAACCCAGTCTTTGACTGCTGTTACGTATATGAAGATCGTGATAATGCCGAAAGTGATTAGTAATTGTACCTGCAATTGATTGAGTAGTGGGTGAGTTGAAACATCGTACTAGATACTTAGTTCGCAGTCAATACATTTGCATGTACGCATGTACATATGTATATTAGACCGTACCACCCTACAAGCAACCAAAAAAAAAAAATGCCGTACACCACTGAATGTGAAGAATTTTTGCAAAGCAAAATTTCCCTTTTTTTGCCGAACTTAGGGGTCGGTTTAAATAGGTCTACTGAAATAATCTAAGTACTTCCTTAACAAAGGTTTGAAGATGTTTTGAGTGCTTTAATTTACTGCCATTAGGATGGTACGTTAAGGGTTTAAAACCTGAAATCTGTTGGGTAAGTACTAGAACGGGGTACTTGAGGTCAATGAAATTTTCTCCTCGAGACAAGAACATCGTAAATGGCGAAGATATGTACATATCGTCGTTTAAAGTACAAAACCGCGTATCAACATAATGCAAAACCGCGTATGTGAGGTTGCATAAATTATTTTGTAGAGAGTAAAAACACTCAAATTTTTTCTCTCTTTTATAAAGCTATCGCATTTCTGGGTAGTATATATTAGGATGAATAGATAAGGCTTGAGCCAAGAGCTTCGGTTACGCGGCTTTGCAGAACAAAGCAACAAACAAACAAACAACCTATACGTTCGGCCAACATAATTTTTTTCTTTGAAATTGCGTTTCAAAAAACTTTAGATCCAGGGGTGCAGGGCGCTGTTTTTTTCTGGTATGGTCTAATGTACATATGTATGTACATTAGGATGCATCATCAAGATATTTTGGAAAATATTAAGGTTTACGTGAGCTGGTCCGATTTGAAAATACCTCCGAAAATCTCATTCTGTTGATAAAATTTTTAAGTATTTTTATGCGGAACTTTTAAACTTAAAGTCTTCTATCATCTGAGGTAATTTTTAAGAAAAACTATTTATTGAGGCGTATTCTTGTTTTCGTACGATTTGGTAATTTGAAATTTTTGTATTGAAAATGATAGGAAAATGTCATGATTTTCGATTCGTACGAAAACACGAACACACCCCATTATAATTTTATTTATTAAAATTTTGATCTTTGGAGGTATTTTCAAATAGGTCGAGCTCACGTAAATTTTAATATTTTTCCGAAACATTTGGCGGACGTCTTAAAATATTATAAATTTTATATTTCCGATGGAAAAACAGT